TACAGTGTGATTGTGATGTTAGTAAGTTTGAGGCCAAAAGTATGATGTGTTCTAGCTCAAACATTTTATTTTAAAAAGGCTACCTTTGTCTCTGCACTTGGTAAAAATCTCTCCCGCTGCACCAACCACCTCTCCATGTACCAGAGAAATGCTTGCATTGCACAGGGAATTACTTGGCGAAGCCCTGCAAGGCACTGAAGGGAGGACTGGCATACTTGCAGTGTGTAGCACAGGGTCAGGCTGACATGTGTGAGTGGCGCCTGGGAGCTAGGTTGGTCCCAGCTACCCGAGGGGCTTGTGCATGCCCTTTTGTGCCCGGTAGCACAAAGGGAAAGAATCTGCATGCGCAGTATTTCTCGCCTGTGGGAAGACAAGTGGCACAGCATGTTTAAGTCTGTTTGTATAGATATACCAACTCTGAATTGCTGAAAAAAGAGCCAAAGCCTGTGTAATTACTTTTCAGACCAAAAGGACAATTGAGGAGGATATGGTGTAAGTTCAGTTAAAGGACTGGCTGTATCCACTGGGAACTGCTTCTGTTCTTAATACAACTTACTTGGTAATAAAGTGTAAATTGGAGAAGTAGGCGGGCAAACAGTAAGAAGGTTCCGGTTTTAGTGTCATCACTTTATTTTATGCCTGCAGGGAAGGAGACAAGTTTCACGTATGAGTTGAGGTGTCTGATGAATTCGAGTGACTTTGAGATGAATTCGAGTGGCTGGATTGATGGGCCGAGGCAAATCGTATGAGGTTCAACAAGGCCAAGTGCCAGGTCCTGCACTTGGGTCACAACAACCCCGTGCAATGCTACAGGCTTGGGGAAGAGTGGCTGGAAAGCTGCCTGGCGGAAAAGGACCTGGGGGCGTTGGTTGACAGCTGGCTGAACATGAGCCAGCAGTGTGCCCAGGTGGCCAAGAAGGCCAATGGCATCCTGGCTTGTATCAGAAATAGTGTGGCCAGTAGGAGTAGGGAAGTGATTGTCCCCCTGTACTCAGCACTGGTGAGGCTGCACCTTGAATCCTGTGTTCAGTTTCGGGCCCTTCACTACAAGAAAGACATTGAGGTGCTGGAGCGTGTCCAAAGAAGAGCAACGAAGCTGGTGAAGGGTCTAGAGAACAAGTCTTATGAGGAACAGCTGAGGGAACTGGGGTTGTTTAGCCTGGAGAAAAGGAGGCTGAGGGGAGACCTTATCGCTCTCTAAAGCTACCTGAAAGGAGGCTGTAGCGAGGTGGGTGTTGGTCTCTTCTCCCAAGTAACAAGTGATAGGACGAGAGGAAATGGCCTCAAGTTGCACCAGGGGATGTTTAGATTGGATATTAGGGAAAATGTCTTCCTGAAAAGGTTGTCAAGCACTGGAACAGGCTTCCCAGGGAAGTGGGTGAGTCACCATCCCTGGAGGTATTTAAAAGATGTGTGGATGTGGTGCTTAGGGACATGGTTTAGTGGTGGACTTGGCAGTGTTAGGTTTACTGTTGGACTCAATGATCTAAAGGTCTTTTCCAGCCTGAATGATTCTGTGATCCCATGGTTCTATGACATGTAAGCAGGCTCGGTGCGTAAGGCAGCTTGCTCACCAGTACACTGTACTGTTCACCTACGCTGCCACGCAGAGACCAAGGCCGGGCAGGTAGTTCTTCACCCACCCTGTTTCAGATTGTATGCACCTTCTAAGCCTTGGTCTCCCATCTCTCTCTCTGCATGTGCATGTATGTAATGCAATACCTCTGTATCTCACTGTGCTTTGTCACATGCTGGGCAGTGCCCTGGGCCTCCAAATCTTCAGATGGTGTTGATAAAGTGAACTAAAAAGTAATTTGTAGTTAGAGTGTAATGTAACAACGTGTCCTTAGTTAGGAAGGCTATGTAAGGTCAGAACCACAGGAACGGCTGAAGAATAAATCCTGGTTCAGGTTTCCAGTTCCTGCTTTGCTCTGCTTCATTCAGAAGACAGTTGCTTCATCCCGTTGCCTGCAAAAGCTTCGTCTTCCCTGTGTCTCGCCTGGCTAGGGATATGGGCTGAAATTCTGTTTGTTTCTGTGCAGGGTGTGATTGTGGGTCTGAAACCTGGTCGTATCTGAAAAACAATCGGAAAAGAGGATTTAAGGATTCCTTACCTGCTTTGAGTTATAGAGGGCTGAGACAACCTAGCCCTTTAAATTCTGATATGGTAATTCATATGAAATACTTCCTTACCAAGGGACCACTCAAGTGTCTTACTCGATAATGAAACCTAGAACCTGTGCCTGCTAAATTCAGTAGCAGATTTTTCTTGTCCTGAGGAAGTCTGTTTGGGCTTTTTCTGCTTTGATGTATTTTGATTAAGGCACAGCAGAGCTTATTTCCAGTATTTTTCTCTGTGACATTCCCAGATAAGAAGGCATTTCTGCAGTGTCTAGATTACACACAATTTTAAAATAACACCTACTGAGAAAAAATGGTTTCAAACCAACATGATATAAGGCCATATTCATTGTTTTAAGATGACTGCTATGTTGCTGTTAGCAAGAGGAGCAATAAAGAATGACCTCTAAGTATTCCAAATTAATAATAAAAGATAAATTAATTTTTTTGTGTCTCCATATTTTTAGTTATTTTTTTTTAAAGGGGCTCTGCTGTTCTTGAGATGATGTAACTTTACAATGTGAATTACTTCATTAAAAGTCTGAAATAAGCTTGTTGTGTGTCCTAAATCCAGGCACATTTTTCTTCAAAGACTAAAAATTGCTAAAAGGTGATAGAATCAGTCACCTCAAACACTTGGATCCTGCCCTGGAAGTATTTTATGTCTAATTCTGTCTTATTTGTTGTCTTGAAACAATGCTTTAAGGGAAAGAAAACATGTAATTGCTCTGTAATTTCTGCACTAAAATGTTTTCTTTTGAAGTAGCTCCGCTTAGCTAGTAAAAATACTTCTGGGTCTTAGTCAAGCATTTAGTACAATTTAAAACTGCAATGCTAAATTTCATTGGTTGGACTTTTTATTAGATAAGGTAGAAATGAAAGCAGCAGGCAATTTAATTAGCAGTAATTTTTCTGGGCAAGTCATTACTTTGATGAACTTCAGAGCAATGTTTATGGCTCCTAATTAACCATGTTAGTCATTTGATTGAATAATCACTTTGGAAATGTTTCTACAATTTGATTAGAGTCTGACCCACTCTGATAGTCATAAATTAACTGATAGCACTTTAGGATAACAAGACTCTAGTTACTTTACGAGAAACAAACTCTTCCTTGCTGTATTTTTCGGTCCTCTGTGGACTGTTGAAGCCCAAGCTAACCAGAAGATTAAGTAATGTTGGTACAAACAATGCTTGCCTTAAAAAGACTCCAGATGTTAATTATAATTGACTTAGGAGCATGGGAGATGAAACCCCAAATTGGCTAAGAACACAACTTCTTGGATGCGTGCATAATTCTTTATTCTGTATACTCTGCTGTATCACTTTGCAAGAGTGGAGTTCATGAGTCAAAAAGGGTTTTGCTGCCAATACTAGGGAATTTTTACCTAAAATAGAAAATAGCATCTGTTTCAGTTCTCCAGCTTCCTCTTTTTTTACGTAGATTTTTCCATTCTCCTTAAAATTCAATCTACTTGGTAACATGAGTGATTTCTTGCAGGTGAACCACTACTTGTAGCCTTGACTTCTAGTCTACAGAGCTATACTTGACTCGGGTGATCACTGAATCACTGATTCCTGTGGTTGCTCAGAATAGCTGCCTGAGACATTAGAGATTCTCGAGGCCTGAGCAGGCAGGCACTGAGCGTTTCATCGAGAGAGGAGGTAATGAAGAGTTCGGCACAGATGTGCAAGAGAGACTGTGGGCTGTTAGAGGAAACTTACTATTACTGCCCTGTGTTTCCCTTGTTTTGTGAAGTCAGTGTAAAACCTCGTTTTCTTATCCTGCTAAATCTTTGATACTCATCACTAGTCAGTGAACAGTGAAATTTGGAATCACAGTCTGAAAGAGTCTGTAGGCAGTGTTGGAAAAATAATGTCTGCTCTTTCGACCTCTGTTTGCATCTCTCAAAGAGTTACAAGTTACTGGTAACAGATTGCATAGCTTAGGGTAGGAGTTTATCACAAGATCAAATAGACTTTGTTAAGCAAGACTTTTGATATCCAAGAAGTGGGTTAAACATGGTCTAGAAGGGCAAACATTTATGGTATATTTCTGTTTGCAAGTCCCTGTGCACAGGATGTGGCTACTTGGGGACAGTGCAAGACACGGGCAAAAAATAGAAAGACATTTGAAGAACACCATTTTCATTAGTTCTGTTTGACTTCTCTCATTCTTCTTGCAGATTTGGTAGAGGTGGGGAATGGCAAATAAATGTCTGTATTACTTAGAATGTGCGCACTAATTTTTTTTTTTTTCTTTTGAGGGGGGCTCTTTTTTGGCTAGGGGTGTACAGGTGGAGGGTGAAATTGATGCATCTGAATTCCTAGATTAAATGCTTAGCAATAGCAGCAAATTTCATTAACCCTTCAAATCCTTAACCAGAGTCTAAAAAGCAATATCCTACTCTAAATTCACTCTGACATTCCTTGTATTAATGTAGAGTTTATAAGTCTCCAGTGTGATTGGCAGGCTTTTCTGTGTAATCGATTAAAAAAGTTTCATCGAATTACTTACAAAGATAGATATACAAGCACAGGGTTTAAAATATTTGTCCTGTTTTGTGTGGATTTTTTTGTCTGTGAATGGTCTGAAGTGTAATTGTCATGGGAGGCAGCTTTTAGCAAAGTTGATTACAATAAGGGTTTTGAGTTCAAGTGCCTATATTAGATGGGATCTATGATCCTCAGTATGATTTTCTCCTCCGCCATGCCTTGTGCGTGCTGCTCTGAAATGCTAACTGTGTGTTGACAGGTTCCCCCTTGCTGTAACTTGCATCCTTTTTGTTGCTCTTCTGCCTGCAGCCTGTCTCATTGATAACCTGCACACTTTTAATTCCAGACAGTCTTTTGACTAGCATTGTCATCTTCTCCTTTCAGAAGTGCCTAGCTGCCATTCCATTTACATGAGGCAAGAAGGCTTCCTGGCTCACCCAAACAGAACAGAAGTTAAGTTTTCTATTATGTATTGCTTTTGTATGAGAGAAACGTAAAAAATTAAAAAGCCTGGAGGGATTTGGGGTTCACTGGTTTAATTCTGCTGCTGGGAGGACTCGCATCATCTATCTTTCCCTTCCCAGTCTTGAGTTTCTGATGCACTGATTTTTTTGTAGCTTCTTCTGGTGCCACAGGTTTATCAGGATAGAAGCAATTTCATTATGAATCTACTCATTCTGTTTTTTAAGGCCTCCAGCAGTTGAAAGGAAGAGACGCTTAAAAATTTGTCCATTTCACCCATTCTGCTCAAGTGGTATTTTCCAAGTTATTGGTGTGACAGGCTCAGTTAACTGTTAAGTAATCCACTTCATACTTTTAAAAGTTTTCAGTGAAAGTTTTTGGCTTTTCCTTTTGTTATGATTTTTGCAATGTTTTGGGGCTCCTTAGGCCCAAATTGTACAGCCATATGATGTATACCAAAACTCTCAGTGACTTCAGTAGGGCAGAGCTTAGTTTATTGTCAAAATTAATAATTCTGAGTAAAAGCACTTTATATGTATTAAAAATAAGAAGGCCAACAGAACTAAGAAAAAATGACCACCACTGAAAGAGAGGTTGTACCCTCCACGCTCCTGCTTTGGTGTATCTTTCTTGTCAATGTATGATTTTTTGGGTTTTTTTTTTTGTTTAGGGTTTATTTGTTTTTCTTCCAAGGGGCAAATTTCACAAACATGAGGGAAATTGTTCTTGAGATTGATGAGAATTCAGACACATGTATGAATCAAAGTCCTCTAGTAAGACTTCATTCACTAGTGAAAAGACACAACTGGAAAGATAACACCCCTGGCTAAAAGCCCAACTGCTTCTGGGGTGGAATAAAGGCAGAAAATAGAAATAAAAGGTAGTATTCAACAAGAAGGGTGAAACAGGAGATGGAAATTTATAGCAGTCTTGGTATATGAAATTATAGGAAGTATAGAAGCTTGATAAGGGAGGTGAAAGACATCAGGGAAAAATCCACGAACTGCAGGGCTAAGGTCAACAGATTTGAGTTTTAATCACAGCCTAAATAGGGGAAAAACAATCTTAGCTGTGATACGCACTCGTAAGTACTTGGAGGTGGTAAAATTGTTATGAATGATGTAGAAAAGCAGTGTTGTTCGGTAAATATTTGTTTTCTGTATTTGGAAATCAGTCAACATGATTTTATGGAATAAAGGTCATGTCAAATCTGATTCTATTCTTTGTTGAGATTAAAAGTTTGATTGATAAAGATACTTGTGTCATATAGTTAAACTTCTTATGGCATTCAATTTGCAACTGCATTACGTTCTGATTAAGAAGTTAGCACAAAGCAGTATCAATAAAGTACACATTAAATACATTAAGATCTGGCCAACTGACAGGTCTAAAAGTGGCTGTTACTGGGCAATCATCTCTGAATGGATTGTTTCTATTACAGTTCTGTAGGAATTGATATCAGGAGTGTTGCTATTCAACATTTTCAGTAGATGTGGAACAAAGTTAATAGATAACAAAGATAGGGTGGTAAATAACGAGCAGGACAGGGCAGTCACACAAAGCAATTTGAATTGTTTGGTAATCTGGGCACATTAAACAATTTTTTTTTAATATGCTGAATGTAGACCAGGCCTATGGAACCAGGAAACAGTGTATTGGAAAAAATTATTTTGAGATGGGCCGCCTCCTCCTCTGCTTCACAGTGGGAAACAAGCCCAACCAAACATTGCAACCGTATGGCAAAAAGGCCTTCTGTAATATTTGCACAGTCAAAAGGAGGGTCATAGGGAGGCAGGAGAGGAGGAGATGTTTTGTCTCGCTAAGTAGTACTGGTGAAGCTGATACTGGCATGCAATACAGTTATGGTTAAGCAAAACAGTAAAGTAATACTGAAAAATAGAGGAGTGTGTACAGAAGAGAGTGCTAGAAAGAATGAAGCGTTGCAGAGGGTGTCTTTTAACGACAAAAATTAAATTTAGGAGAATGATCTTAATTGGAAGAAACATCAAGGGTGACTTCTGTGAATATGGGGAGGAAATACCGAGCAGGGCTTTTTTAGTCTCGCAGGGAGAAGACCCGCAGGAACTAATGGTTAAAAGTCAAAGCCGTGCTAGTTCAAACAGGAAATGAGACAAACATTTTGGAATAAATCATAGAGAAAAATGGGTGCTTTTTCATTTTTGCAGGTGGAGATTAACAGTCTTTTGGGAATGCACACATTAATTAAACACCCCTGTACTGAGGCCAAAACGTTGCGATTGGGTGGTGTGTAAAGGATGTGGGATATTAATCTGATTCCTCTATGACTTAGTGTTCCCTCTGGCATTAAGCCTATGATCTCTTCTTTCTCCATGCATCTTTTATATAAACACCTCTCTCTTTTTAAATTACAGGCTGTATGTATGAAAAGGGACCTAGGCAGTTTTATGATGACACTTGCGTTGTTCCAGAGAAGTTTGACGGTATGTATGACACATCTCTCTTTCTTTTTCTTGTGTGGGGCGATGAAAAAGGAAGAGATGAGGGACTTTTCTCTGTTGCTGATCAAAAAAGCTCAGTAACATTCCAATTTAGGATTCCTTAACACACCATTTGCGGTGCGCCCAACCAAAGCTGACCTTTGTCTCTTGAAGCCAAAGTCTCCTTTTCAATAGGATGTCGTTCAGCTTTTGCCAGTGAAAGATGCTGTATCCAGAGTTGTGGCAGAGGAGCTCAGTTCTGTACTGTTGAGAAGTAATAGGAGGATTTCCATTGCATTGATGATCACATATCGCTTGTTGTTTGAGATTTAATGAAAGCTGTTCTTATAATTAACAAGACAGTGGAGAAAGCAGCAGCTTTGGTTTTGCTGAGGATTAAGCCTCTTGTCTTGCTGTCTGTGAAGTGATGAATAGTGAGGAGTGAGTGTACAGGGCATTTTTGTTTTTGTGTCAGTGTATTTGCTCTACGTTGAACGTTGTACTAGTGGTTTATTTTTCAGTGAGATTGATAAAAAATCAGTGATCTTTTCACAACACTACCCATTACAACAGATTTTTTTTCAAGAGAGATTCTGAGGTCAATTAAAATAAATGGCCAAAATTATCCTCAGTTACTCTGATGTAAAATCAGTTTCCTGGTGTAATTCAGTTGATTTCAGATCTATTTCATTATAGACAAAGTAGATGGACTCAATATTTCTTGCTGGTGACTCTGTTAGTCTGCAACTTTGGGAAGTAATTTGGAGACCAGTTACCTAAATTTGCTAGGGTGGCTTCTTTGTGTTAGTGTATGTATGTCCAGCTTTATTTATTTTAACAGGAAAGATTAGATACTTTCTGATAAACTTGTGAACAGCTCTCTGACCATAGCTAAAAGTAGAGCTGGAGAACTCTTGGGGTTTTTCTCCTGCTTTATTTTGTTTGTTCTCCCCTGAGAATCACTTATATGGATTACAAAACTATTGCATGTCTAGCAGCATTTGTTGTGTTTGCTGAAGAATGGGAGACTCTAAAATGAAAGTAACCCAAAGAATTACACATTCCTCAAACAGAGGTATCACGTGCAGTCCAGGGTTGGTAAGGAATAGCAAGAAATAAATAGAAGATTTTAAATAATATTAGACCTAACTGAAAATTGCTCAATCCAGTATTGCATTGTCACTGGATTGACACGTTCACTGAAAGGGTGATTTATTGAAAGTCTGCTTTATACCCTGTTGGAGTGTAGGCTTCCCCCACCGCCCCTGCTTTTTGAAGCACATCATGTCAGGTTTTTTTCTTCCCCAGAAATGATTGTGGACCTGATCTGTTTTCAGTATCAGTGGCAAATTCATATTTACATTTATGGGGATGGGGTCAGACCCTGTACTACAAGAAGTTAAAACTCTTCAGGAGTAGTGTTTGTCTGTGTCTTTCTTGAAAATCCTTTTTGTTTGCTTGGGTTTTGTACAGGGAAGGGAATGAAAATGGAAAAGAAATACGAATAAAGTAAAAGAAATAAATGTTTGGAAATATTTGCGTGCTTGCAAAGCAAGCAGTCTGCTGCTAGCTTCTATGACTGTCCATTGAGAGAACACCTTGTACTCTAGAAGATTGATGTTGTGATACAAATAGGTGTGTTTATACTTGTAGCATGATGACTTTTGGTAAAAAATAGCAGATGTGTCGTCATGTTTTGGCCAGTAAAGCAAAAGTGGGATAAGCCCAGGACTAGTCTTGATGTTTCAGAAGTAGATTCTCAGCTGCTTCATTTGAAATCAAAGATCGGCATAGGCGAAGAATCTGATCCTCTGTAATATTGCACTTGCTATTTGTGCATTGCTCAGCTATCATTAAAAGAAAAAGCCTGTCTTTGAAAAAGAAGGCCTTTCAGGACTGGAACTTGAACCTCACATAAACCAAAAAGCCTTGTGTTGATTTATTTGTTTTCCACAGCTATTGACTCAATTTTCTTCCCTGATTACAAAAGGAAGTGCTCCATTTTTAATATTATTATTCTTACTTTCGCTACACGGAGCCATTCTGTAATGGCCATCAGAGCATCCTAATGTTGTGGTTAAATGTAAAGTCCTGGCTTTCCCTATTAAACAGGTCACACTGCTTATTGGAGGGTATTGCTGTTCTGGTAGTTGAAATGAGTTTTACCAGCATATCAAGGATTGCTGTCATTGTGTGCAGAAAAAAATATTCTCTGCTTCAGCATCAGACCTTTCAGCTGTTGTTGTTTGCATGAGTTGTTTAGTATGAATATGATTTAAAAACAACAGACACACAGTATGGATGTCGCAGGATGGTTTTTCATTGGCAGTTTGTGGAACAGCTAAGCAGAATATTATTATTGTTGTTTTTTAAAAGCTTCCTCTGGACTTGAACTTTTAGAAAAATTAACTTACTGCTTTTCAGGGGGAATACTAATCTGATATGTAGATATGAGTAAAAGTAATATGTGCTTATACGCAAGTCCAATAAGTCAAATACTTTGTCAAATTTTCCTTAGAAGCATTTGCATGCAAAAGAAGTTTCACTCAATAGGGTTTTGCAGCTTTATGAAGCATACATTACATTTCCAAAACTGGGGCTTGTGCAAAGTATAGTACACAAATGCAGTTCTTCAGATATCAGAGTTGCTTACAAAAATAGTTCATGCTCTTTCAGATAGAGGATGTTGCAAAATGGTTTGCAAGTGAGATTTGCATGTATCAGAAGTAAAGGGGGATAGGCTTAGGGAGACTTCCATAAATCATGACTGAATTTAGGTAATTTGTAGTATATGAATGTTGTTGTAAGAATGTTTACAATTAGCAGCCGACAGGGGAATGCTGGGTAGTAAGAACT